CGCTGAAATACAACTGTCTAGATACACACTATCTGTGGGAGAAGGGAGAAAAAGGGTGTGTGGAGGCGATGAATGTTGTGCTTCCCTCACGACAGGTACAGGGTCGTCAGATGCGCCTGCTGGGGTGTGTGGGCCTGGGTCAGGAGCAGGGGCTGCGTCAGCAGAAGCGGATTAGGGCTCGTGACAGCAGCTGGGTCCACGACAGCAGCAGGGTGCAGGACATTAACAGGGAGTACCTGAGGGAGAAAAGAGGGGGTGTGGAGGCGATGGATGTTGTGTGCTTCCCTCACGGCAGGTACTGAGTTGTCAGATGCGCCTGCTGGGGTGTGTGGGCCTGGGTCAGCGTCTGAGGCAGGACGGGTGTGCTGGGGTCGTAGGATGTGGTGCTTGGGGCAGGAAGAGGAGCCGGTGTCTGCTTGAAGACTGGGAGCGTGATCAGTGTCTCCTCCATCCTGTGTGAGTGCTTATCTCCGGGAGTCACCATTTGTAGGGGTATCGAGATATTAATGTTGTCTAGCACTCAGGATGGAAAGAAACTCTAATGTGGTTTTCTTGTATAATATATAAGTTATATGATAGACAGTCTGGTGCTGGAGGTGTTGCTTGTTCAGGAAGTTGGGCAGAATGAGAGTTGGTTGGTGAGGAAGCTCAGAGAAGGACAGCTGGTGGGTCGCCATGCTCGCTGGCGGGAGCGAGGACCGCCAGGCAGGCGAGGAGAAGCGAAGGGAGCCAGGCAGCGGCGGAGGAGGAGGTGTTGCTTGTTCAAGAAGAATGGTCAGAATGAATCTCAATGGAGAGACAGAGTTTATATACCCAGCAGCCGCTATGAGTCATGTTGGGAAAACCCGAGAAGTCGCCGGTTCCTAGTTTCGTTGCTAAGATACGGTAACATCTGGTTGGTTGCCTGGGAAGGCGGTAGCAGGTGGTGGCGTGGCTACGCAGTTGTAGGCAGTTGTAGGGGAGACGTCCACTACAACTATATATGGTCAGGACTGTTCTATGGACCAGAAGCCTGGACACTTTCAGCAGACATCAGAAACAGGTTATAGGCCTTTGAAATGTGGTGTTATAAGCGAATGATAAAATTAAGTTAGAGTGACAGGAAAACAACGTAAAACTACTAAGATTAGCAAAAACTTCAAGAGAAGGGCTTAAAATTTTACAGGAAAAAAAGATACCTTGGTCATATAATGAACGAGTTGACCGTTCTGGGGAAACTTATTCAACACACTGTTAGAGCTATGCAATACACAATGTTTTAAATTAAAGCTGAAACCATCGTGATAAGTTAAAATATTTGTGGCACTGAGGAAACGTCAATCATATTGACGATGACGTCAGTAGCTAGAAGCAGACGACGCATATATACGCATCAGCCCTGTTCATTTTTAGGTGTAAATGTGCATTTCTATCGATGTGAGTCAAAGGTATTTCGTTAGAGACAAATCAGCAGTGAACAGTAACAAACACAAGTTGTAAACCCCTAATGTTTACACAATCATCTGATCTGCTCAGACGTTGAGCATAAACATGCAGAATTATCTATTTTAGAGATCTAAATGAGCTCTCCGTTGCTATTAAAGCATAATATTCGTGAAGATATGGGCCAGTATAGAAGTGATGACAGGGTCTGCACTTTGGTTTGAGAATGCTCACTGCGGGGTAAACATTACAACATATTTCTGCTTTTAACTTGGTGGTGCACTCATTAACCAATATTAACTATCATTAGTTATTATTTCCTAGAGTATACAAGCAAGAACTAATCGTTAAAAGTATGGTCAAAGTGTACATAGGTTGGTAACTGGCTGAGGAAGGACACAGCGCTTGTATTCTAGATACTTTAATACTTGTACTTGAGACCGCTATTGTTAGATACAGTTGCTTTTATGTGTTAGATTTAGAAGCATTAAAAACACAAATTAGTGAATACTGTACAAGCAGAATATGCAGCTTTCTATTTTTCTCATGGATGCACATTTTCTTATATTTGAAATATTTGCTAATATTTAGATAATGACTGTCGACTCAATTTTTTGTATTGTTTCTATACTCCCTGTGTCATACTGATTATTCAATAATTATTAATTTTCTGTTTAAGAGAAACAGTCATTACAAGTTCATGAACCTAAAATTTGCTCTAGGAAATGTGGGAAAATTTTCATTTTTACGTTTGTTATCATGAGGGACAATTTTTTAAATTAAGAATATTGTATCCAAATACCAGGTACTTTAAAGGATTAAACAAAAATAAGCCTTAGCAATTATGCAAACAGTGGAACATTAGATTTTTTCACCTCTTGATAACGAACATGGCAGGGTATTGAATGAAACATCAGAAAGTTAATAAGAAGCAACGTAATGACATACGATATCATAATCTAACCTCACCTAACCTAATGATACCTTACCTACAAAGGGTAGCAATTAATGGTGAAGTATTTGGCCTCAGCCTGTCCCTAGGGCACCTCAGCATGTTTAGTGGCTATCCCTAGCCTATCTCTGATTGTCCTAAGCAAATCCTCTAGCCATGGCTGTCCCAAGTCCTTTCTTGATTTCAAAAACTAAGAAAGTCAGTGATGAAAACTTTAATTTCCTCTGTCAAAAGTTCTCGTCTTGTTATGCCTCTGCTTGGCACCCAACAATCAAATACACACGATGACACCAGATAACTAAATAATTTATATATACTGTACATTAAAGACATGATAGTATATATTAATTTGATACTCACATTAAAATGGCCTTGACAACAGTAGAAGCAATGCTCTGGTATGGCTTTGAAACTCACGGGGAGCAGCAAGCCACCACATCTTCCTTTTCTTCATTTCCCTCGGTACTGTGATGAATATTTTGTCCTGGTGTGACTCTGTCCGTACTCCTAGACACTGGAACAAAGCACCTACCATGCCTTTTTCGTCCCTCGAACATTACTTTTGGTCGAACTCAAAGGTGGATGTCAAAGCACGCAAATCAGCGGGCTGACTCCCGCCCTCGGCGTCACTACAAGCTTGAGGACATAACAGCCAATCACTGGGCGTTTTGCTGTTCACGTGATTTTTAAGCAACTTTAACCCTGAATTTGTTAATACTTTCTGGCCTATTTTATTAGAAACTATGGTTACTTTAGTGAAACTTAGCATTTTTTTTTGCTTATTGAAGTGTCTTTAAAAAAAATGGTGACCGTCAACTCGTCCATTAGGGATGAGGGGATAATACCAGAAATATTAATGAGCATAGTTGAGGGTAGTAGGGCCAGGGGAAAACATAGGGTGGGATGGATGAATAAAACTAAAAACTGTGTCCTCAGAGAGATGCATAATCTTGGAGGATTGGTAAATACATCCTGAGAACGTTTAGAGGTGAGGGCTGTGGTTACCAACCATCAGATATGAGAACGGTATTCTGATTGAGGGAAGAATACTTAGTGACACTCAGTTCAATGTATTCACAATTGCACTATTAAAGTCAATTCTAGCAGAGAGCTTCAGCACTATTACTATTAGCTATGCATAAGACATTCTTATTGCAACTATATCTTGCGCTAGTCAGGCCGCACCTCGATTATGTGGTTCAGTTCTGGTGCCCTTATTATAGAATGGATATCAATTCACTGGAGTTGGTGCAGCGAAGAATGACGAAAATGATTCCGGGACTTAAAAACCTTCCATATCAAGATAGGTTAAAGAAACTATCATCTCCATTGAGAAAACTTAGATGCTCAACAAACAAGCTGGTAACAGCAATCTCGGACCATCAAAGCTTAAGATAGGTAGCGACACCATTGACTTTGTCTCTTCTTTTAAATGTTTCGGTGTCTACCCCCTGTACTTCACCTGCCATACAACCAGGCATGGGGCAATTAATTAACTTAATTTAGCTAATTAACTTTTAAAATACTGATTAACTTAATTTAAAGGAAATGTTATCAAATTAATCAATTAACTCCGATTAATTATCGATTAAATACATAAAAATACTAACAAGTCTGTAATATAAAACACACCGGGCCTTGGCCCAGTGAGTATCACTTTAGATGGTTTAGGTATTCAAACTATTCGTCGACTATTTTTCGGGTAATGGAGATAGTTCCTAGGTGGTGGAGATAAATCCTAGGTGATGGAGATGGTTCCTAGATGTTGGAGATAGTTCCAAGGTGATGGAGATAGTTTTTAGGTAATGGAGATGGTTCCTAGGTAAAGAAGAGAGTTCCTAGGTGATGGTGATGCTTCCTATGTGGTGGAGACGCTTCCTAGGTGGTGGAGATAGATCCTAGGTGATGGAGATGGTTCCTAGGTGTTGGAGATAGTTCCTAGTGTGGTGGAGATGGTCCATGGTGGCGGAGATGGTTCCTAGGTAATGGGGATAGTTCCTAGGTGGTGGAGATGGTTCCTAGGTAATGGAGATAGTTCCTAGGTGGTGGAGATGGTTCCTAGGTAAGGAAGATAGTTCCTAGGTGATAGAGATGCTTCCTAGGTGATGGAGATGGTTCGTATGTGGTGGAGATGGTTCCTACAGTAGGTAATGGAGATAGTCCTTAGGTGGTGGAAATGGTTCCTAGAGGATGGAAATGGTTCCTAGGTGATGGAGATAGTTCCTAGGTAAGAAAGAGAGTTCCTAGGTAAAGAAGAGAGTTCCTATGTGATGGTGATGCTTCCTAGGTAATGGAGATGGTTTCTAGGTTATGGAAATGGTTCCTAGGTGATATAGATGATTCCTATGTGGTGTAAATGGTTCTAAGGTAATGGAGGTGGTTCCTAGGAGATGGAGATGGTTCCTAGGTGATGGGGATGCCTCCAAAGTAGCGGAGATGGTTCCTAGGTGTTGGGGTTGGTGTCTAGGTTGAAATTGTTTCTAAGTGATGGAGATGGTGTGTATGTGCTGAGGATGCTACTTAAGACAGGGAAGTGGCTCCAGCAGATGGTAGGGGAGGGGTATAGGGAGCACGAGAGGGGCTGGAGGTAGCGGGAGGCGGGGTGGGGTGTCGGCTATATCAACCACAGTGAGATGCGGCGACCAGCACTTGACTTGTGGACGAGCGTCGCACTTGAAGGGTAAGTTGCTCCTCGCTCCCTGCCTCTCTCACTGTGTCGCTGAAGTTTTCTTGTGGTGTGACTGCCACACTCTGTCTATTTTGCCAACCGTCATGGTGTGACTTCACCACACTATCTATATCGCCAACCCTCATGGTGTGACTTTAACACAGTGTCTTTATCGCCAACCCTCATGATGTGACCTTAACTTTTTTTTTTTTTATTGGGCACCCCCCTACATCCTTGTGTAAGGTGAAGCACAGAAGCGTTTACAGCGCCCAACAGGGAAGCATGCTAAGTTCATGCTTGCGTTTATGTCTCATGAGTTTAGGGCGTAGAAGCCTGAAGAGTCAAAGGCGTAGAAGCCTGAAGAGGCATTGGTTTATGTCATCAAGTTATTGGAAGCTCCAACAACTTTCCCTGAATACGAATTCGCAACTTTCGATTTACAACAGGTACCTACATTACTGCGAAGTGAACAAAGACCAATGAGGGCTAGGAAGTATGTCCAAACAACTTTTCCACCGGCCCGGGAAGCGAACCCTTGACATCTCGCTTGCGAGTTATGAGCGGTACCGTTCTACCACCGGCGCCCCTGATGTGACCATAACACACAGTGACCTTAACACGCTGTGTCTTTAGCGCCAACCCTCACGGTGTGACCTTTAAACACAGCACTGTGTAGTGTGTCCTGTATTAAATGTTTTGTATTTTCAATTAGTGAAATTATCTTCTCAATGTCTATTTGTATCGCCACAGTGTCTGTGTCAGTAAGTCCTTTACCACACAACCCTACAACAACTGATGTTGTTGAGGCTTAAACTATATTAAGACAATCGTGTCGTGCAGCGTGAGCCGACACTACTGAGGCACTTCGGATGTGTCCGTGTGTACCATGTTGTTACCTGCACACCATTGTCTGACCTTTTGGCACAATAATGAAAACATTACTGTGAACATGGCAGTCTCTATTTATCTATCTAAGAATCCATTAACTATGCAATTAATGTACAATATCTCCAGCTGATTTCATAAGACTTCATGTATCTACTAACTTCGGGTTGTTCTTCCTAAACATATACAATGTGTTTATGTCCAGCTCAGAGGTATGAGACATTACGTGTGTTAGTCAGCCGTCCGTCCCTCCGTAACTCATACATTATAACACTGTAGAAACTGCCCAACAACAATAGATGGATTTGTGCCGAAGGTCAAACACACAGTGGACTGCAAGAATAGTGTCAGTGTGCAATATGTATTTTTTGATCTTCACCTAAGTTTGCCACCTCATCAAGCTTACGAAGATTATGGGAATCACAGCGTCACGTCCATGAAGTGACATCAAGGAAAGAGCCGAACAGAAGGAAGAAATAACAACAGAACAGTCATAATATAAGGATAAATTAACCTCACTTGACGTCGAACAGGTAAAAACACAGTGAACCTACAGTAGGTTGCTCTCACAGTGCACCAAGTGAAAACCCTCAGAAAATCACAAAACTTGCAACCAAAACTTTTTTGTAAACTACTAACAGGACAAAAAAAAAGAGAAATGAAGCGAAGATCAGCTCTGATGAGAGAATGGATATTGGGCAAATAATGTTGAAACTACTGAAGCAACAATAATTTCCCTGGACATAATATCAAGAAGAAAACACTTGAGTACTCCGGAGGCATTCTACATGACAAGGTGGAAGAAGGGATACGCAACAGAGAATTTAAATGGACATACCACGACCACCAAAGCTTGATTTAGCCACAACAGAAAATGTACTATCAGTGGAGACGGTTCTGCGCAAACAGAAAGACTGCAGTTTATATGCCAGATGTCCTCAGTTACAAATTTGCGAGTATAAGTGAAATCATGTGAGCCCCAACCTCAACTGCCCATTAACCTTTGTACCATTATTCAATGTATCCCCCACAGCCTCCTCCTCCCTCTCCCCTCTCTCCCCAGCTCCTATTTCACCATTCAGACATGATGTTCTTACCTAACCCCAGCCACAGACAGCGCGGAAAGATAAATCTATTTCAGCAGAGATGATATAGGAGAAAGGAAAATAAATGGTAACATGAGGAATGTTTCTGTACAGTTACCATGGAGTGAGGGACAGGAAGTACTGTACAGCAAACGTTGTCTTAACACCTTGGAGGTGTCGAAGACTTAGGAATGCTGTTGATTCGTAATCTAAGATGTGTGTTAATTCTTACTTGTACAAGCTGATGTGAACTAGTTATGTATATGGCTCCGGAATAATGTGTATTTATTATTGTACCGTATTTGCACCGAGGCTTGTACCTTGATCTGTATTTAGGCCGATATCTTTTCAAGTATATTTCCATATTATTTTACTTAAACCTGACTCTGTACCTATACCCGTACAGTCTCGTTCAAGATTCTTCGAACACTGCTGGAGACAACTGGCAACTCAAGGCCGTTTGTTTACTATATTACGTAGTAAAAATATGAATAAATGTAAAAGTGATCGGTGATTGGTTAATTAGTTCCCCGTTGCTTAATTTAATGGTTAGGCTTTGTTGTTTCGTATTATATTATACTACGTACTATAGTAAACGAGATTGTACATGTAGTTATACTTACAGCTGCACCTGAATTTATGCCTCTACCTGTATATTTTACTACATTTTCTCTTTAAATTTGACAAAATAGATTAAATAAGATTAGAATTTCATTTACAATAGAGGTCTGTGCGGGGCAACCGCGGGTACCTGCAGTGTGGGGCAGGCGTGGGCTGACAGGGGGCGGGACAGGTGTGAGTTCACGTTACTCATGCGGGTGCGGGATGGGTACGATACGATACGAAGTCATTAGTTAAGAGGTGAAAGAAGATTATTAGGAATTGAAGAAAAAGTGGTGAAACTGAAATACAGTAGGAGTAGAAAGAATCTGGGCTCAACCAGATCGCTTCATCTTTCTTATTGGTGTTTTGTCTTTGTTCTGCTCCCTTGGGTCGTCAGACCTTTGTATTAATATTGGTTTATTTATATAATGCTGCTTATTATTATTATTTGTTATTGTTGGAGTTAGTGAGCCCGCCCAGGTCCTTGTGTAACTGGGAGGGTAGTCACATTTTTATTTTTTTTTTTTTTTGAGGTGTTAGTTAAGTGTTAGTTGTGTTAGTCTAAAGGTACACTGTATGGAGAGGCCTGCCAGGTTCTTAGTGGAGCTGGTTGGTCACTCTCATCTTTATTCCTCTAGTAATGTTTTATGTAGAAATGTGTATATTGAGGCAGGAGGTGGTTCAATTACTTCTTCCTGGCTGATATAGCTGGGAGGGTAATCACATTATTATTATTAAATATATATATATATATATTTTTTTTTGGAGTTAGTGAGCCCGCCCAGGTCCTTGTGTAGCTGGGAGGGTAGTCACATTTTTTTTTTTTTTTTTACTAAGATGTTAGTTCAATGTTAAATGTTAAATGTTAAATGTTAAATATTAGTTATGTTAGTCTAAAGGTACACTGTATGGAGAGGCCTATCAGGTTCTTGTGGAGCTGGTAGGTCACTCTCATCTTTTATTCTCTCTATTAATGTTTTATATGTATATTGGGGCAGGAGATGGTTCAATTACTTTCTTCCTGGGTACAGGTCAGTGTGTGGATTTTTGTAGGTCAAGATCATTTAGTTCTTAATTTTGGACACTAGACTTTTAACAGGTGATCTATCTTAGAGGGAAAGGGAGTACTTGTAATGCCCCTCCCAATTAGTAACCTCACTTCGCGTTCTCTGTTTCCTCTCTCTACCCCTTTCATCTTCCATTACCCGCTTTCCCACATACCTTTCTCCACTACCACTACCACTACCCCTCCCTCCTCAACAGAGATGACAACTCCGCAAATTTGTCGCACAATTGGGTGACTTATTTTATTGATGTTTAAACTTTGTGAAATAACCAAAATATATTATTTCATTACTGACGTTGTGAAATGTGGTAATCAGTGCATGTTGAGAGAGGGTAGGAATTACATTATATCTCACAATGTCTAACTGTACCTCTACAGTATTTTAGATGTTTGGCACTATCTTGTATTGCCTGTAATTTAATAGTTTACTGAAATGTATACCACTTAGTAATCTACTAGAATTTCACCTGGTGATTTGAATGTGAATCGATTTGCTTGGTGCGGGGGATGGTGTGGGCTTATACCCAAAACTTCAGCAGGGGTGGGGCGGGAGTGTGCAAGGTACTGAGGGTGCGGTGCTGGCGTGGGTCAAATATTTAAAGCTTCTGCCGGTGAAGGGCGGGTGCAGACATGATACGACGGGTGCGGAGTGGGTGCGGGTCAAGTTTTGTCACACGCGCAGGATTCTAATTTATAAGTGTTGTTTCCAGATGATGCAGTGGGAAATGAGGAGCTTGGCCAAGTTCTTGATGGTGGTGGTTACCATGACAACCGTTGTTAAGGCCTCTGTGCCTGGTCTTAATGGTGAGTACCATACTACAGATATTAGCCTTGTGACACATTTCAAAACAAACTATGATGTTGAAATCATTTATAATACTTGTGTTAGATCCTGCAGCTCCTGAACGTTTGTGAATGTTTTTAATATAACAAATTTACATAACGGCCTCCTCAGCTTGTGGTGTCTAAGTCAAGGAAAAGAGCCCGGTGACCTATGTAGGATCCTCCCACTGTTCTTGATACTCTTGTTCATGATTATTTTGACTCCCTATACTGTTCTTTTTTCGATGGCTTTAACTGGTAGACTATGCCAACTTCTGAGTGAAGAAGTACTTTATTATATTTGTTCTACAAAACGACTTGGCTAGCTTGAAACTCTTAACTATTGTGTTCGTAAGGCTTGGTGTCTTGGAGAAGTGATTTGTGTTTACGTTTTTCAACCTGTTGAGGATTTTCAATATTTCGTATTTGACGAGTTGTCAGTTTCAAGCCCCTCAGCCTCAATGGGTAACTAAGATTTCCTATGTCATGAATAATTTTTGTCACTCTGCATCGCATTTTTTCTAGTGATATTATGACCTTCTGTAAATGTGGTTTACATGCCTGCAAACAGTAGTCCAGGTGGAGACGTGAGTAGAACTGAAGGAAAGTGTCTCATCTTTACATTTAATGTAATAATTCAAGATTCCCGGAATTTGGTTGTTTCTCTATTGCGTTGCCCAGGGCATTTCCCATATTTTCAAGTGCTAGAAGAGTATTATTTATAGATAATTGTGTTTTGGGTTATTGTGCCCCGCATTCAGAATCTTAAACTTCACCATATTGAAGCGCATTTATTAGTTGTGCGACCACTAGAAAAGTCCATGTAAATTCTTTTGCTTGGATGCAATGTCATTCTGACTCGCCACATCCCTGTAGAGTGTAGATCCTTGTTTCGTTCACAGACTTCATTATGTGGCTTAATATAATTACAATAATATCGTTAACGTAGATCAAAAGAGGGTGGGTCCCAGGATGTACCTTTACGATGTATAGTCCACTCAGAGCCGCTTTGTAGGTTTAGTATACTTTGTTTATGACCACCCTGTGACACTTGTCTCTGAGTTAGTGTTTTATCCATGCTAATATTTACCTTCGACACCATGCTTCTGCATATATGACCACAAGCTGTATATAGTATAATGGAACTTCATCGAAAGCCCTACAGTAATCCATATACAATACATCTACTGGTAAACCTTGGCCCACGTAGTCTGTTACTTTATCTAAGCATGTAAACAAATTCTTTAAACATGATCTCTCTATGACACCAATTTGTGATGCGTTGATGGAGTTGTGTTTAATCAGATGGTTGATGGTGCCGTCCTCTAGAGATTACAATCTTATGTTGTAATGTTAGGTTGACTGACCTAGAGTTTTCTGTTACACTCCTACAATTTTTTTCGAATACAAGGGTGACGTTGACTCACTTCCAGTCTTAATTCACTTGATCCAGAGATTTTCTGAACAGTAGTGTAGTGGTAAGCAAAGCTCATTCGAAATGTATTTCATCAAATTAGTTACCACCTTCATGTTCATAAAGAAATGAGAAATCACTATAAGCTTCTTATACTGCTATTTTTAGTATAAAGAAAATGTATGTTTACCAAGTATTTCGCAGCCTCACCTACCCTGCCATCCCGTCAACAGACCGCCGCTACCCTGACTACATCGTGAAACCCCAAGTGGAGTGTATGAAGGAAGGAGTGTTCCCTCACCCCAGGAACTGTAGCTGGTATTTCAGGTGAGTCTCTCTCTGTCTGTCTGTCTGTCTGTCTGTCTGTCTTCTAATATATGTTAATCTATCTCCGTCTCTCTGCATTGTCTTAAATATCTGTCTCTTGTACTACACATCTCTCTCTTAGCCCTGGTGAATATCTCTCTCTGTCACACTGCTCTCTACATCTCCCTTTATATCTCTCATACCGAGCCTTTCATTCCGCCCAACAACTTCATCAGCCCTACCCCCCTGCCTATTTAACAATCTTCTCTGTTAAGCCAATAATAGAAATCTTACCAACCTCTAATATCTCTCCCCCTCTCCTCCCTTGCCCGTCACAGTTGCGTCGACCGTATGAAGGTTGGTTTCTACAACACATTCTACTTCGAGTGTGAACCTGGTACTGTCTTCAACGACGGGCTGGACCAGTGTGTGTTCCCCTACCTCACCTCGCCTCCCTGTGGCACTAACGGGACAGGATCCAGTACGACAGTTAAACCACCTGTTCTATGCCAGAAATTTCACTCCAGCAGCTGTCAAGTGTATGAGTTGTGCCGACCATTGAGGACCACCAAGACCCTGTGTACTGGCTGCTTCACATACTTTGGTTACACCAGGGCTAAGGATCTTTGTAAGATGAAGGGGAAACTCGTTGATAAGAATACGCAGCTATGCGTCCAGCAACCCACGAGTATGTCTTAAGTTTATTTTAGCGTGAAGATTATTAATGTTAGATTATATTACACTACTACTACTACTACTACTACCATGTTCGCCACCCTTTTATTACCTAAAAATCAAATATCCTAATACAAAAGTAGCTACCCTAGTTCTGTTGAATTAGTTGAGCCGCAGATCTATGCGGCATTCAGTGACTGTTGCCTCATAGTCAATATCTGCGACCGTTGTCGTCTTTGGGGCCGAAGATCTCGTTCCTCTGAAGCAGAGCAATGCTGTAACGTAACTTTTGGGCTGTTGCTTCTGTTCAGATAACACTCGCAATTCTTGCATAGAAACATCTTGCACTCGGTCCCATCCCACCAGAGGTTGTGAACACCAGAGGAGTGAAGCTGCCTTGATCAACAGTGACAATTCTCTCCCCATATTCCCTGATCTTGTCATTCTCCTTCCTCCTGTATGCAGCATTGAGAGCTAGGTTACGGTGATATGTGAGCGAAAAACCTAATGTCAAAGAAGGCACGCTGTTCCCGCGTCCAGAATTTTCGAACACTGACGTTCACACGGGCTTCGTTGGATGAGTTTGAAGTCCTGTGACGGAAGTTCTCACCTTTCAATGACAGGAGGAGCGGTTCCACCATGACAGTGGCAGATTTCCTTCAGTTAATTTTTTGTGATATCCCTTACTTCGTCATGCCTCATGCATACGAAGTCCCCTTTCTTGCACACCATGGCGTGCTCGATGTTATAGGATTTTGCAGTTTATCACTTTGGGTATGCTGCAGTTCTTTCATAATGGACCGTCGAATCTTGTTTAATTCGTTGGTATCCACCTGACTTGCTGCATTCTGAGCTATTATGTGCTCATTGAGGGATGCCGTGAGCTTGACAGATTTCTGAGGTTCTGTAGCGGCAAGCTCCACTGGATTAGTCAATCCCATTCCTCCCAGTCTCGGTGGTAGTGCAATGAGTGACCTTTTTGTTGGGGTTAAAAAAGGGTTTTTCATTAGTGGTTGGATAAAAGCGACCTTAATGGCTTCTTGTAGAGGGTGGAGGAGGGGTCCAATATCAGGGATAGTGTGCATCAGGTAATTCCAGCGATGCTAGACTCCATGGGTGAATGCCGCAAACGCCGCAAGTGGCTCTGTTTTAGCAATATCAGACAGAGCTTGGTTTCCTTCACCCACTCATTAACCTTTCCCGTTACGTACTCGGTCTTTAAGTCCTTCGTGCCAATTACCACACCTAGATGTCTTTGGCCGTGCTTAGTTATTTTGACCTCACTTCCGCCCAACATCTCCTTTGCCTTTTATAGTTTTCTGGCTTCACAATGAGGAAGGACTTGCTGGCATTTGGGTGGTACCCTATTTGTGGACCTCTTGATGTTACCAGGTCTCACCACTTTTTGATGTCCTCCACTTTTCCTGCTACTGTTAAGTCATCAGTGTAAGCCACTTGTTTGACCTCAGTTGTTTCATATTTTATTGTATGTTGGAGCACAGACAGGCCTAGTGCATACATTGCCATGGCGACAGGGTCCACCTGCGTTGTTCCCTCAGTTGACTGTATGGTGGTTTCTCCTCTTAAAGTATTGAAGCTTGTTATAAAGATGTCTGATGGGTTCCTATTGGTGTTTTCAACATACATTGCAAAGCTTGGACACTTAATCTTGAAGTTGTGCAGTGCGGCCTTGCGGTTGAGTATGTTGAATGCGTTGGAAGCGTCGGCCAGAAGTACTGCCTCACAATTACGCTGCTCAAATACCTTTCTCATGCAGTAAATGCCAGCTTTTCCTCTATTACTACTACTACTTTATTTTTATTAATTTTTTTAACGTAGCCTCCAGCTACTACTACTACTACTACCTTTTTTTTTTATTGACGTGGCCTCCAGCCTCCCCCAAAAGCCACACCTTCGCTGCCATTTTATTACCTTAATATTAAATATCCTAATACATAAGCAGCTATCCTATCTGTGTTGAATTAGTTGAGCCGCAGATCAATATCTGCAGCTGTTGTCGGCATTGGGGACGAAGCTCTCGTTCCCCTGAGGCAGAGCAAAGCCGACCGAAGAAAAGAGAAGGACAGTCGACATCTCATCCAGGCTGCAACGTAACTTCTGGGCTGCTGCTTCTGTTCGGAGATCACCTCCGCAAGTCTAACGTAGAAACATCTTGCACTTGGTCCCATCCCACCAGAGATTGTGAACACTAGAGGAATGAAGCTGCTTTGATCAACATTTTGAATTCTCTCCTCATATGCCCTTATCTTGTCGTTCTTGTTCCTCCTGTGTGCTGCATCGAGAGCTAGGTTACGGTGACATGCGGCCATGGGATAAAAAATCCTGATGTCGAAGAAAGCTCGCTGTCCCCGCATCCAGAATCCTCGAGCACTGACGTCAACACGGGCTTTGTTAGATGTGTTTGAAATCCTATGTTGGAAGATCTCACCGCCCAAAGGAAGGAGGGTCGGTTCTACCATGACATCCCGGCAGATTTCCTTCAACATATTTGCTGTGAGGTCCCTTACCTCGGCATGCCTCATGCATATGAAGCCCCCTTTCTTGCACACCATAGCGTGATCGACGTCATAGGAAGAGCCACACACGCATTGAGAGGGCAACCTTCTACTGGCCAACAGTACCTTAGAGCAATGGCATCTGTAAATTCTTGTTTATTGAGACTGAAACCATTTGCCCTTAACGGTAACGTAGATAACCAGTTCGAGGCGTCCACCTCCTGCGATATAGCTACATTTTTTCTTCAAATTCTCTGGTATTTGCAGCAATAGTTGCTGCAACTTGTCACTTTGGCCGTTCTGTCGTTTTGTCGTAATGGACCTTCGGATCTTGTTTACTTCACTGGTATCCACCTCCACTGTTGAGTTCTGAGCTACTATGTGGTCCATGAGGGCTGCCGTGAGCTTAACTGAGTTTTGATGCTCCGTGGCAGCAATCTCCTTTGGATTGGTTAGTCCCATTCCTCCCAGTCTCGGTGGTAGTGCAAGAAGTAATCTTTCTGCTGGGGTTAGGTGAGGGTGTTTTACTAATTTGGGAATGAAATTGACGCTGATAGCTTCTTCCAGGAGGTGCAGGCAGGGTCCAATATCAGGGAAAATGCGCATCAGGTAGTTCCAGCGATGCTTTACTCCATGGGTGAATGCCGCAAAAGCCGCATGTGGCTCTGTGATAGCAATCTCAGACAGAGCTTGGATTTCCCTGACCCACTCATTCTCCTTTCCCGTTACGTACTCGATCTCGAAGTCCGTAGTGCCAAATACTGCGCCTAGATGTCTTGGCCATCCTTTGTTATTTAGACCTCACTTCCGCCAAACACCTCCATTGCCCGTTCATAATGTTCTGGCTTCACAATGAGGAAGGACTTGCTGGGGTTTGGGTGGTACCCTGTTTGTGGACCTCGCGATGCTACCAAGTCCCACCACTTTCTTATGTCCTCCACTCTTCCTGCACCGGTAAGGTCATCAGCGTATGCCACTTGTTTGACCTTAGTTATTTCAAATTTAATTTCTTGTTGGAGCACTGATAGGCCTATTGCGTACATTGTCATTGCAACAGGGTCCCCCTGTGTTGTTCCCTCGGTTGACTGTAAGATGGTATCACCTTTTAGAGCCTTGTTGTTTACTATATAGAGGTCTGATGGATTCCTATATGATTTTTCAACATACATTGCAAAGCTTGGACACTTGATGTTGATGTTGTGCAGTGCGGCCTTGCGGTTAAGTATGTTGAATGCGTTTGAGGCATCCACCAGGAGAACGGCCTCACAATCACGCTGTTCAAATATCAATCTCATGGCGTTAATGGCGGCTTCCCCGCCAGCCTGGTGGCCAGCACACACTTGCAGGTTCCCTGCTGCTGCCCTGACATCATCCTTTACCACCTCCATTATGCATTTTCAGATGATCCGCCTCAGCACTTCCCCCACTCCTATAGGCCTACACCCTTGATTCTTAGCCAGGGGAATGAGGCGGCAGGCCGTCAGAGCATGGAGGTGATGGCAGACAGTGGATGCCAACTTTCTTGCAAGGACGTCAATGGCAGTGCAGAGATCACTTGCTACGGGGCCAAACTTGTTTGTGCTGAGGATGGCTCTCCAACCGTTTGCATGCAGACCTGAAGGGCCAGCACCTCCCTGAGTGTTCAGTGCCTTTTTCCACACCATCTCACCTGTTATTTTCCCGAATAGGACAGCATTTGGTGGGATATAGTCACCGTGGACCCTGATACCTACTTCATTACTTGCAGGGGGATGTTTATCTTTCAGTAGTTTTAATGTCTCTCTGTTTAATCTCAGAACCCCACCGGAGGGTTCCTCTGTGAGAGATCTTACCGCCAGAGACACTTTTTCCACACGCATTTTGTTTCCAAATTTTCTTGCCACGTCATCGGTGTTTTGCTTTCCATCACCCGTAATTTTTAGTCTCTCCTGCAGTGTTCTTGCTTCACATAGGAGATCATCAAGAGCCCCAATCTGCCACATTGCCAGTCTTCTCTTCATTGCTGCTGGATTTTCTTTGTGCTTAGTCTTTGTGTGTGTCCTCTGACAAAAGAGATGTGGTATTATTGCCAGTATTTGAAGAGCTAAAGGGGCGAGTAAGCGGTCCTGAGTGTAATCAGTCATGAGGCGAATCATCTCACTAATAATAATATTATTATTATTATTATTAATATTAATAATTGTAATAATAATAGTAATAATAATAACAATAATAATAACAATAATAATAATAATAATAATAATAATAATAATAATAATAATAATAATAATAATAATAATAATAATAATAATAATAATAATAATAATAATAATAATAATAATAATAATAATAATAATAATAATAATAATAATAATAATAATAATAAATATTTAGGCAATACTTAACGACGCTGGCGTACGTCAATCACCAACTTTCCACAAATATTGTTCAGTTTTTGAGGATAACAGAATTTATTTCTTACAGAAAATCGCATAAAAAATAAAGGCGAGTTACAATCTCTGTATTTCTGCGTTTCCGTAGTGTTTCACTATAATTAAGGGATTACAATCCACCACGTTCACCAGAGGCCAATTTTGGTGCTTGTTGTGGTGTTTATAAACAAACCCTTCCCAGGGACTGTTTCATACACACGAAACTTCCAACGACTGTTACATAGCATTATTTGTACTAGAAAAACCTAACCTAGAGATGATGCAGTTTGTAAACGTTAGGATAGTTAAGCAACTGCATCTGTGCATGGAACGCTTGGTGGAAAAGTTCATATGTTTGAAAGTGTTGTATTTGTATGTAGACTACTGTTCAGGACAAGAAAAAAGTCGTAGTGGCAACAACACGAATTTTATAATTCCTCGTCATTGTCTGCGATTTTCTCGAAGAAAGACTAAAGTAAGTTCTCCTTAATACAATATTTGCCGAAAGTTGGGTCTTTCTGTGCGGCAGTGTCGGAAACAATTATAAGAACAACAATAACAACAACAATAATAATAATAATAATAATAATAATAATAATAATAATAATTATAATAATAATAATATAATAATATAATAATAATGATAATAATAATAATAATGATAATAATAATAATAATAAAAATAATAATAATAATAATAATAATAATATAATAATATAATAATAATGATAGTAATAATAATAATAATAATAATAATAATAATAATAATAATAATAATAATAATAATAATAATAATAATATTAATAATAACAATAATATTAATAATAATAATTATAATACTACTACTACTACTACTACTACTACTTTTTTTTTACCGTGGCCTCCAGCCTCCCCCAATAGCCACACCTTCGCCACCATTTATTTACCTTAATATTAAATATCCTAATTCATAAGAAGCTATCCTACCTGTGTTAAATTAGTTGAGCCGCAGATCTATGCGGCATTCAGTGACTGTAGTCTCATAGTCAATATCTGCAGCCGTTGTCGGAGTAGGGGCAGAAGCTCTCGTTCCGCTGCTGCTTCTGTTCGGAGATCAACTCCGCGAGTCTGGCGTAGAAACATCTTGCACTTGGGCCCATCCCACCAGAGGTTGTGAACACTAGAGGAGTGAAGCTGCCTTGATCAACGTTTTGAATTCTCTCCCCATATGCCCTTCTCTTGTCGTTCTCGTTCCTCCTATATGCAACATCGAGAGCTAGGTTACGGTGACATGCGGCCATGGGATCAAAAATCCTGATGTCGAAGAAAGCTCGCTGTCCCCGCGTCCAGAATCCTCGAGCACTGACGTCCACGCGGGCTTCGTTAGATGTGTTTGAAGTCCTGTGTTGGAAGATCTCGCCATCCAATGGAAGGAGGGTCGGTTCTACCATGACGTCCCGGCAGATTTCCTTCAACTACTACTTTCCTACTACTACTACTACTACTACTACTACTACTACTACTACTACTACTACTACTAATAATAATAATAATAATAAATAATAATAATGATAAAAATAATAATAATAAATAATAATAATAGTAATCCAAAGCGATTCAACATTTGGTAAATCAATATCACATACAACTTCCTTATCCTTTTATTCAAATTATTAACTGAAAAGTAAAAAAAATACAAAACATAAAAATAAAATAAACAACAGGGGGTAAAGTTGAGAGAGAGAAAGATAGAGACAGTCTTAATTTTAATTTTTTTTCTTATCTAGGGTCGGACCTGTGCCGTGTTACCCCCACCAACACATTTCCCCCACCGACCGTGAGTCCTCCCCAACGTAATCTTGGGTGCACAGAACAGAACAAACGGCCCTACGAGACCTGGATAGGCATGGACCACTGTCAAGACTATCACTTTTGTACTCCCTCAAACACGTATCTGGTGAGAGGCATTTTAATATACAGTGAATCTAATCCTTAAGTTTCTTCATCACTCCCTCTGTTTTACTGACTACTCTTCATTCCACTTAATCAATCGCTTTATGATAGTGAATCACCTTTTACATTATTACTCTATTATGTTGAATCAACTACTTATTCTGTTTAAGAACTCCTTCTGTGATAGTGAATCAACTCTTGCATTATATTCAGTCACTCTTATTTTGTACTAAATCAACTCTTAGTTTGGTCTACTCTTATGCTGCACTCAATCACTGCCTGCATTAATTATAATGAATCAACTCTTAAATTTCACTATTTCCTCCTTAACTCGACTCAATCGCACACTTTACTGAACTAAGGCAATTCTTCATCTGTCCCTCCCAGTATCAAAAGAAGCTGTGTCGCGAGTACTTCCAGTGCTTTAAGATGGCCAACGGCTTCTGGGACTACACGAAAGAGAAATGTGACCTCGGTGAACTGTACAGCTACAAGACAAATGGATGTGTCAAGGAACCTAGAGGTCAGTGTTTTATTTGATACAAAAGTCTCCTTGAAGAAATACATAAACAAAAATAATATTAATACTGCATTTATATCTTCTGTCACTTCTTGATTTGAGGGATTAATTACACTTACCTTCAACTGTTGACCCTCCATCTTCGATTAGTTTTGGGGTCAAACTCGCGTTTCTGAGGATAGTAATCCAGGGCGTTGCCAATGACCTATAAGTAAAGAAAAAACAATGGCCTGTACACTGTATACTAATCCTGACATCAAGGAACACCTCAGTATGTTACTTGAGTTTTGTTAGTATAAAATGAGAAGGAAAAAATAATGTCAAACTAATTATTTTTCTTTACTTTCAGCGAATGAGCTGTGTAACACGTCACCCTAGAGACATGTTCTTTGATCCCTGCCTCTTGACACCCACTACTGACACTCGCAAGTTGACACCAGTCAATTACCATCTACCACTTGACACCTGTCAATTGAAACTTAATTTTATGCCAGCTACTTGGCGGCACTTCATTCTATGCCAGTTACTAGACACTTCATTCTGTACCAGCTACTTTCACTTCATTCTATGTCAGTTACTTGGCAATTCATTCCATGCCTGATACTTGGCACTTCATTCTCTGCCAGCTAATTGGAACTTCATTCTATGCCAATTTTGACACTCAATCTATGCCAACTACTTGACACTTCTTTCTATGCCTGCTACATGGCACTTCATTCTATGCCTGCTTCTTGGCACTTTATTCTATGCTAGCTACTTGGCACTTTATTTTATGCCAACTATTTGACACTTCATTCAATGTCAACTACTTGACACTTCATTCTATGCCAGCTACATGGAGCTTCATTCTATACCAGCTACTTGGCATTTCATTCTCCGCCAGCCGCTTGACACCTGAAGGAGACGCTGGGATACAATCATCGCACTAAGGAAGAAGACTCCCTGAGAAGAGTATTATAATATTTTCGGATACACAACCTCTCCTCCACTAAGTCTGGAATACAATGGTCGATCTTCACGAAATGAAAATATCTGGGAAAATGTTTATTTTATTTATTATTCATTTTTTTTGCTTTATTTAGTTATTGAAACTCAGACTTTCCTGAAATGATTGATGGATGAATTTCGTGCATGAGGTTGTCTGTTTGAAGTACTATACTGCGCATCTTGACGTAGCTAATGATGTATTCATGATCGCTCTACTGATACCAGGGTTTACAGTGCCAGGTGATATTATCTACACACACACACACACACACTACTACTACTACTTTTCTGTCACTCGGAATCGAGTATGACGATCATCCAGCTATGGTAAAATGATATGGGTTATTAGGGATGTCACCTAGGTTAGTGAGTTTTCAGGCAGCTAACGAGCCCGATACGGGACCGGCAGCATTGTCCACATTCGTTGCATATGTGGAGGGCTCCATCTACTGTGGGAGGGGCGGTGGCAGCGTCTTTCCGCCGTTGGCGCTTATCTGCCTCGGTTGCACTCGGGCTAACTCGAAAGTACAGTATTAACACCTTCCCGTGTGGTGCTCCTCCAAGCGTTACGATGTGGAGTAATCGACTCCCAGGTGAGGGGGGTCGATTTGGCACCTTTTCAGGTTTGTCTTAAGACTATCCTTATACCTTTTCAATTGCCCGCCAGCGTTACGTATACTATTCGTTAGGTGACTGTAAAGTAGCTGCTTTGGCTGTCTACTGTCGTCCATGCTGGTAACATGGCCATTCCAACATAGTTGTTCATTGATAATGATAGCCTCGATGCTCCCACATTATGTGTCAGCAAGAATGCTGGCATTTGTTCTCTTGTCATCCCAGCTAATTCGGGGGATGGAACGTAGACTACGTTTGTGAAAGTTTTCAAGTGCCTTGAAGTGCATCCTGTATGTGATCCATGTCCCACTGCCATATAGTAGGGTGGGCAGGACCACTGCTCGATATACGTGCAACTTTGTGGATAATTTAAGCTCCCTACAGTTGAAGACATGATTTCGGAGTCCTCCCAAAGCGTGTGATGTACATCTGATCAGATGTTGAATTTCTTCATCGATGTCTGCGGTGGTGGACAGGTGGGAGCCGAGATACCGAAAGTGGTCAACATTAGCGAGGGTAGTACCGTTAAGCTGGATGGATGCTTGAGGTGTGGCTGAACCAGGGGCAGCCTGGAAAAGAATCTGAATCTTGAGTACATTCACCCCAAGACCGAAGTGTGCATACGCGTCTGCATAGGTGTTCAGGTTTTCCTGTAGGTCGTGTTCAGAGTGAGCAACAAGGGTGAGGCCGTCTGCATACTGAAGTTCAGTAACGGACGCTGCCGACACCTTTGTTCTTGCCTGGAATCGTCTTCTGTTGAATAAACCCCCTTTACCCGGTACTCGATGTTCACCCCGCTGGCTAAATTGGCACTGGCACGATGGAGAAGAGAGTTGGTGCCAGTGCACACCCTTGTTTAACCCCTGTTTGGATGGGAAAGAACTCTGGGTGCTGTTGTGCAGGACACTGCCGTTCATGCCATCGTGAAGTTGCCTCACAATGGCGATGAATTTTAGTGGGCAGCCAGAACGGCTGAAGGTCCACCAGAGGGCTTCCCTGTTGACCGAGTCGAAGGCCTTGGTTATTTTCATGAAAGCCATGTACAGGTCACGACGCTGTTCTCTGCACTTTTCCTGTATCTGTCGGGCAGCAAAGATCTGTCAGTGGTGCCACGTGATGGTCTAAAACCACAATGAGATTCTGGGAGGAAGTTTTCCGCCTCAGGAAGAAGTCTTTTTAGGAGGACTCGGGCTATAATCTTGCCAGCTACGAAGAGCAGCGAGATCCCGAGGTAGTTGCCACAATCTGTCCGGTCCTCCTTGTTCTTATAAATATTGACAATGGAGGCATCTTTAAGAGCTTGGGGGATTTCCTTCTTTTCCTATATATTCTCCAGGAGAGAGTGGAGACGGTTGGTAAGTAGAGGTCCTCCTGCTTTATACACCTGGGTTGGGATTCCATGAGGACCTGAGGCTTTGTTATTTTTCATCTGTTTGATGGCAGTAGCTACCTCATCCAGGGATGGAGGATTGCTGAGGTGGGTCAGCTCTGGGTGCTGTGGGACCTGTTGGGTAATCAGGACATCCGCATTGGTGTTTTGGTTGAGCAATGAATGGTAGTGCTCTTTCCAGCGCTGAAGGAGGCCTTCGTCGTCTTTAATTATGTAGTTACCGTCAGATAAGCGAAGGGTGGCTGTGCCACGAGTGGCTGGCCCATAAAATGTTTTAGTGGAAATGAAAAATTTGCCCAACTTGTGTTGATCTGCAAGTTTTTGTGTTTCACATGCTTTAATTTTAAGCCAGTCGTTCTTTAGATTGAGAAGTTCCCGCTGGATTGTCGCTTTCTTCTTGTTGAAGGTATCAGCTTTGGTCCGAGACTGAGAGTTGTTCTGCCACTGACTAAAATTAACACGTTTATCATCGATGTGTACTTTGATTGCCGCGTCATTTTCATCAAACCAGTACTGGTGTATTCTTTTGAACTGGCCGAGGGTCTCTCTGCAGATATCTGTCATAACATTATTAAGAGAATCCCATTCGGCACTGATATTCACGTTGTTTGCTGTTGGGTTGTTTATAAGCCCATGTTCGAGCTGCTCTCTGAAAGCATGTGTTACCGCTGGATCCTCCAGACGTTTAGTATTAAAACCTATTCTGGAGGCTTGTTGCCTTCGCCGTTTTGGGGCAACGTAAAGTGAGAGCTTGGATCCGACAAGTCGATGATCAGTGTCACAGTGATCTGAACCACGCATGGTACGGGTGATGAGGACATCTTGGCAATCTCTTTTTCTGACAATGATGTAGTCAATGAGATGCCAGTGTTTGGATTATGGGTATTGCCACGATCCCTTGAACTTGTCGGCCTGCCTAGACAAGGTATTGGTGATAGTGAGGTTGTGAGCAGCACACTGCTGAGAAGGAGTAGGCCATTGGGATTACACTTGCCTAGTCCATTTCTCCATATGACTCCCTGCCAAATGTTAGCATCTCTGCCAACTCTGGCATTGAAGTCGACAAGGAGCACAACCTTGTCTTCACAGGGGATAGAGTTAGCATTCGGTTGAGGTCGGCATAAAAGGCCTCCTTGATGTCACTCTCTGCATCCAGTGTTGGGGCGTATGCACTGATGAAGAAGGCATGACGTGAGGGATTCAGTGGGACTCGAAACATCATGAGGCGCTCGTTGATCCCAATAGCCATTTCAATTAGCCTGTGTATGGATGCGTTGGCGGATGGCAAAGCCAACTTCATAAATGCGGTTTCTCTCTGCAGCAGGCTTACCCTTCCAGAAGAAGGTGTGGCCAGACCCCCGTTCTTTGAGTTGGCCCTCATCTGGGAGCTGGGACTCACTGATGGCTGCTATGTCGATGTTATACCTCTTTTGCCACAATGGCAGTTCTTCTTTCATGAAGTGCATTTGTGCCAGTATCCAGAAGGGTCCTCACATTCCATGCAGCGACCATAAGAGGTTGTATGGTTTGTTTTGTTTGGATCTGTGATTTTGATTGTGTTTTAGACCGCATAAGGATGACCTTACTGGATGCGGTTGCCCAGTCAGGTTGGGTTTTTAGACAGGGTATGCTTAGGGCACCTTTTCTAGCCCCCTCCCCGTGTGGGGTGGGCAGAGTGGCTCCTCGTAAGAGCTGCTCAGTCGCACATACAGGAACGGATTGCACTGCTGCCTAGATCCCAGTGCATAAAAGACCATCTTATCTGTGCTGCATATGTGCAGAGTTGTTACAAGAGACTCCCGGCAGTCATCTCTGCCTGTCCCCGTCGCCACTCGTCCGTCGCAATAGGGCTTTTGGGGGGTATAAGGGGTTTGATGATGATGAGTGGTATGATGAGCTGGGTGATGGCTGCACGTGAGTTGATTTATACTGTGAGGCAGGAGCTCAGGCTGCAACCACACATCTTGGCTTTCCCTTTTCCTGATCCAATGGTGCAAGTGTTGCAACGACTGGGGAGAGGGAGAGTTGCGATAGACTGCCGATTGCCCAGTTTGTTGGGTTTTGCCTTAACAGCCTGTCCATCAGGCATTGTCCGCCGGTGTAGTCGTTGGGTTTCCATGGTGGTCACCTCTTCCGTCTACACCGCCGTTGGGATCTTGTCGGGGATCTGTAAGCATGTCTGCCTGATGCGGGGCTCCACCACAGATTTTTCGTTCGAGGTTTATTCCCGTAACCATATACCTGCCAAGGTTAATCCGCAAGGCAGCGGGGCGGTGGTTGGTAGGCACCAGGACGTGTCCACATGCCAGTGAGCCTGTGCGCCATCCCTGTGGGGCCCACTGCTACTCCGAGATCCCCTGGTGATCTAGCCTAGGCAAATGAGGCACCCAGTTACCGTGAGCTGCCACGAGGAGGCACAGCAGGAGTTTCATGGTGAGGAGGCTTTGTACTGGCAGGGGAAGACTTATGCAAGTTGCTTCCCCATTTGCCACGAGGGCTAGCCAGCGGCGGCAACTGAAAGCGAGAGGGAGCAAGCAGTGCTTGCACTTTAACACTAACATAATGCTGCCACACTAGACGCATTTCACAACCCTGTGTAGTGTGTGTGCGCGCACACACACACACACACACACACACACACACATACACACAGTGATTTTCAGATAACTATTATCTATGTTTTAAGTACCATGTTAAACACATTTCTTATATTTTAAGAATTAAAGGCCTTTCAGTAGTTGGATATGATTTTTTTTTTGAGATAATAAACGTATAGAAGTTTGCTGGACAGTTATAAAATATCTTCTTAGGGGCTGAAGGAATTAAATAAATACAGTATAATTTCATCTCTGTGAACTCTGAGCTGTTTCACTGAATCAAATTGAATGTACGAAGATCTTGCCTGCATTTAATACTTAAAACACAATAAATGTAACACACATGTATTTCACACATGTATACAACGGCTTCAGGCTACGTGTTTCAAAGATTTTAAGTTTATAATTTTGTTAATTTTATTTATTGTCTGATTGTTGTTGTTTGTCATATGTGTTGAGTACTATAATAAAACATAAGTAACATGTATATTGTTATTGTGCATTGTCTGTTTTTATTACTGAAATTTGATTTGGGAAAAAATAGTATAAACATTATTACTATTGGTCTTTTACTGACTGACACCTTACCACCATGATTATTGTTTTTAACAAGTTGTTATCTGGTGTAAAAACAACTTGGTGAACTGTTCTCAAGATCCTGACCGCTGAAGCACCTTAGTAAATCTAACCTCATTTCCTCCTTTTAAGTGACTAG